GTTTTTATTATTTTATCAGGTAATTTTGGTTGATTAGGTAATGTTGGTTGAGGTATTGTTATTTCTTTATCAAATTTGGTTATTGAATAAACATCTCTGGGTTTTGATGTTGAAATGGAAAATTTTTTTTTCGGAAAAGTAGCACTCATTACTAAAACTTTATAACCCATTCTAATGAGCAAAGGTTGTACTACTTGATAAGATGTGACTGGAAAATGTGCTTCGTCGAATAATATTATGGTGTTATCCTTATCAATCAATTTTTCTTTGATTTTTTTTTTCATTTTTTCTATATTATCATCAATAGTAAATTCCTGATCTTTCTTTTCTTTACTGTTACTTGTCACTATTTCATTGATTTTGGTTTTTCCACATGCGATGTATCTGGTTAGATGATGTAGTTGTAATATTGATAATGTTGATTCACCATCTTTACCACTTGTTTCTTTTTTGTATATTGGTTTTGTTAGATCGTTTACATCTGCACCCCTTTCTTTTCTTTGTTGATATCCAATTATTTCATTACCATTATCCCATGAAGCAAGACTATCTTTTTTAACACTGTAAGGTAATTTACCTTCTTTTCCATGGATTACACATTTGTATGGGACACTGTTGGTATATTGTAACCAAGATGTATGATGATTGGCAGCATCTGCGGCTAATTCATTGTTAGGTGTGATTAATATTATGTGTTTTCCAGGAAAGATACATGTTAACAGACATCTTGTTAATTTAGTAGTTTTACCACCACCAGTTAATATAGTCAAGATTCCAGGACCATCAACATCTATTATTATTGTTTCTGTTGTTTTTGATATTTCTTTCATTTTTCCTGTTTTTTGATCTTTGACTTTTCCTTTTGTAGTTTTCGTTTCTTTTTTTGTTTTAGCGAAATTGTCAATATTATAAATACTACTATTAGGATCTTTTGGATCAGTAATTGTAGGATCGTATTTGTCATTTATTAATTTATCTGGATCGAAACCTATCAAGTTAAAAACATATGGGAGTAGATATGCGCCTGCTAATGTTTTACTCAGTTTTTCTTCTTCTATTAAAACATCAGCACCAGATATTCCATTTAATTCAATATTTTTATTAATATCTCCAGTGAATTTACCATTTATTATTTCAGCTACTCTTATTTTTTTTATTGGTTCAGTTTGTAATGTGTATCCCATTAATTTATCCGTACCAACTTCAACTTCTTCTCCTTTCAACCATTTATCAAGATTTTTTTCTTTAAGATTTTCATCACCTTTTCTTTTTAAGAAGCTACCTAAGAATTTATTGAGAAACTCAGGAGTTACTTTATTTTTCCATTTATCAAATACTATTTCTTTAGTTTCGTTTATTGATTTTAATATTTTTTGATATTTAATTGGATCTAAACCATCATTATCAAATTCATTATTGGGTTCATCTATTTTATACCTAAAAGTATTTCTCTTATCAATTATTGCTTTTAAAAGATCTACTTTTTTAGCACCACGTGGTAATATTTTATCATTTAGATTATTTATTTTTACTTCTTTGTAATTTGCAGGTAAAGATTTGAAAGTATTTTTATTTTTATCAAGAATATCTTCAAGTATATCCAATGAGAGATCTAATTCAGATTTATCAACTTCCAAGACATTTATTTTTCTGAAATTTCGATATTTTACATAGTTGTTTAGTATTCTGTATTCACCCCATCCATTTTTTATTGCAGTTTCACATTCTTGGATATTTAATCCAGAAAACTTCCATTTGTCTTCATTTTTTTTTTCAATATTATTATCATCAAAAAAATTAATCCAATCCATGATTTAATAATATAAAGTAATAGGATATTTAAAGTGATTTATATATTTTCATTTTCTAATGTTTTCATTCTATCATTTCTAAGTTTGTGTAGTTTTGCCTTTGTGTTTCCAGAAGCAAGATATTTTTCATCCAAATCTTCGATATTGCGATAAATATCATTGTAAAATTCAGCAGTTAATAAATTTGAATCTTTACAGTTTTTTATATCATCTATTAGAGAATTATAATTTATATTTTCTTCTTTTTCAAAGTTTTCGATTAAAGAATTTCGTTTTCTAGTGTAAATTTCATTTAATAATTTTTTATTTCTATTGTTAGTTAGGTATTTATCATCTAGAGAATCTATTTTATCTTTAACATATTTATCCAAAGTTTCAGGAGTTAAGAATCTATCAATATCATCTTTAATGATATCATATTTTTCATTATTTTCTTTTTGTAATATTTCAGTTTTCCTGTCTTCTTGTATTTTGATGAATCCATGTTTTACTTCACTTGGTAATGTTTTATCTGTAGATAATTTATTAAATACATTATCAACTTCATTAATCATTTCTGAATCTTTTATTTCTGTTTCATATCCATTTATTTTTTCTCTTATTTTAGTTATTCTATCTACTAATGTTTGTTTTTCCTTATTTAACAAGATTTCATTATTATTTATCAAAGTATCTATTTTATCTAAATCTTCTTTTTTACTTCTGTCTATTTCTTTGTTTAATTCATTAAATGATTTTTGTCTAGATTCATCTAATTTATTTCTTCTTAATGTTTGTAATTCATTGATTAAATTATAAGATATTTTAGAATTTTTGATTCTTTTGTCAATGTTTTCATTGTCAAGTAGATTCTTAACTTCAGATATCACATTTGTATCAACATCAGTAATTAAATTTCTTATTTCGTGAAATATAAGATTTTCATCAATAGGTGGGGTGATAGGAAAAAGATTTTCTCTTCTTCTAAGAATTTTATCTTGTAGTTCTTGTTTTTGTGTACTTGATAATATTTTATTATTTGTTATTATATCATTCATATCATTTAATTCGTTTTCAGTATTAAGGTTATCTATTTCATTATCAAATTCATTGTATTCACTGTTTCTGAAATTTAATAGTTTTTCTCTTCTTTTTTCTTGTAATTCATCAATATCATCATTTGGTAAGTTTGAATTATCTATTTTTTTATCAAGATTTTCGTTATCCAGTAATTTGTCTGCATTATCTTTATCGATATCTTCTATTTCTTTTTTCAGTTCATCAAATAAGTCTATAGATGGTTTTGTGGCTTGAGATATATCAGATAATTTATTTTGAATCAATGTTGAGATGTTTTCTTTTTGTTCAGTCGATAGTATTCTATTATCTCTTAAATCATCTATCAAATCATCTATTTCTCTTTGAGTTTTTGATGTTTTAATTTTATTTTCAAATTCATTGATTTTTTCAGATATGAGTTCATTTAATTTATCGTTTCTTAATTGTTGTAGTCTTTCGATTTTATCATTTGATAAATTTGCATCATTTATTTCATCTTCTAAATCTCCATAATTCAATAATTTATCTGCATTATTTTTATCGTGATTTTCAATTTTTCTTTTTAATTCATCAAATAAGATTTTTTCAGAATCTTTGGGATGTTTAGGTTCTTTTGGTTTTTCGGGTTCAGGAATTTTACCGTGTAATATTTCTAATCTTCGATTTTCGAGAATTTTTTTATTGTATTCTGGTATGTTTACTTTTTGGATTAAAGATTTGATAGGACCATCATCTTCGATATATTTTTCATGTATTTTTCTTTTATCTTTTAATCTTTTAGAAAATATATTAGAATCTTCTGGAATATGTAGTTGGTTATTTTTTAAGGATTTTGATATAGATAATAAATTATTGATGTATAGATTCATATCTGTTTCATTTTCTAATTTTACAAGTTCATTTATTTTTTTCATCCATTTATTACTAATGATTTTTTTTTCATCGTTTGAAAATGAATAGGAGTTAGAATTCCAAAAAAAAGGTTCGTAAACACTATTTCCCATGAAATTTTCAAATCTGTTATTTGTTGAAAATTCATCTATCAAGAATTCGACTTCACAGTAATCTTTTAATTGATTTTTTCGTTTTTCTAAATTTACTCGTATTTCATTTATTTCATCGATATTAAATTTAATCAGTTTGTTGAAATATTCATTGCTAAGTAATGAGTTATATAATCCATTTGTAGTTAATGATGAACAATCGATTTCAGATTCGATCGATTTTAAGATTTCACTTGTGCATACATCTTCATGTTCTTGATTGCATTTTTTTAAACCATTGACGTATGTATAACCTATTTTTTTGTAAAAAGAAGTATCTTTTGTTTTTCCATTCATTTCATTAACTGAATTGAATAACCAATATTTATCGACAATGTTTAGGTTATCGGGATTATCCAATAAAAATCTCCACCATTTAAACCAGTTTATTGTTGAAGATTCTTCTAAAAATTTCAATCTTTTTTTTTCTAGGTTAATAACTGTTTCATCCTCTAATTCATATACTACGTCTTTATTTCTTAATGAACTGTAGATGAATCCTTTATACATTGATAAATCTATTGTATCGTCATTCATAATATTTTTGAAAAATTTTTCTTTTAGAGGTAAAGATATTAACATTTCTTTACATATATCATTTCGTATTTTATGTAATTCAATAGTATATTTTTTTAATGAATTATTTTTATTGATGATTTTTTCATATTTTCCCGATTCACAATAATCTATGATATTTTTTTTATCATTTTCTAATAAATATTTAAATCGATCATATGACATTTCAAATATGTATGAATCTTTATTCATGTTTTGTGTATCCACATAATCACTATATTCATTAAATGCATTGAGATATTCCGGTCTTGTCATCAAATTGTATTTTTTTAAAAGATCATCCCATATGATATTAAATAGTCCATCAAAGTTATTTTTTGTTTCAGAATGAATGTAATTTGATATATTTCCGATTTTACAATCTTCAATGATTTTATTATGGGTATCGTAATTTACGCAATCATAAGATTTCGATTTAATATTCTCTATAAAAATTATCCATGTGATCGATATAATTAGGATTTTGATAATTATCATAATTATTTATTGGATTATTAGCAATTTTGTAAAAATATTCTATATTTGGAGTTTCTATTGTGTTAATTTGATTTTGATTTTGAATTTGATTATTGTAAGGATTTAATTTTACACATTGAAGGAGATTTTCATCTGTGTTATATAAGATACATGTGTAAATTTGTGAGAAACTACTGGGTATCAAAAACAAAATTAAAAAATAAAAATACATTTTAATGAAAAAATACTTGTATTTATGATTTAAATAGATAAATTGTTAAAAATTTGTCCTATTTTTAAATGTAATAAATTGAAATAATGAATATCATCGTTTCTTATTATTGATATCAACAAATCAACTATTTCTAAAAAGATTCTTTTATCTATTTTTTTGATGTTGAGATAAAAAGATTTATTTCTAGTTTTATGTATACCATTATAGATGACAGATTTCCAAGGTTTGATATAAAAACTTTCTTTGTAATGTTTGAGATTTTCCGAAATTATTTTATAAAGATGTTTAGTTGATGTTTCGTTATTTGAATCTATGATTTTATTATATCTTTTTAAAATGAATTCTATAGATTTTTTGATAGGTAAAATAAATGAAATGTGTATAGGTTTTAACTTAATATAATTTTTTTTTCTTTTTTTGAAAATGATGGAAATATTATTATTTAGGATATTTGGATTTATTTTAGAATCATTTATTATTTTTAATTTTGAATGTAATATATCAAGTTCTTTTTTAAATTCATCTTTATTTTCCAAGAAAAATACATTAACCTTTTTTAACGTTTCGATATATCTATTTATTTTTTCATGATCTTTTTCATTTATTATCACTGTTTTAAAATTTTCAATTAATATATTTCCTCTTTTTTTAATAATATCTTTTAATTCTTTGATATGCCAAGATCCTAATCTATCATCATTTTGTATTTGGATATATAATTTACTTCCGGGTTGTAATTCAGTGATTTCAGTTTTTTCATTGATTTTTTTAGTATAGTAAGATAGTATATCTTTACAATCGAATAAAAAATTCATTTATTTATCATGATAATTAATTGAATCTATCT